GCGCTAACTCTAAACCCTAAACCCTAAACCCCTACGGGATCTTGTGCCTAGGTACTAACGCTCAAATCACGTTTGCGCAGTTGGCTTTTGTTCGGATCCGTGCCTTTTCGGGAGCATTTCCCTTAGTGCCCCAATCCCTAAACCTTTGGGGTTTAGGGTTTAGGGTTTAGGGTTTAGGTATACGCCCTACCTGAACTCTCCTTGATCACCTGTCGCCAGTGTTCCTTATTATGGTTTCCATACAAGGGGGGATTTTTAGGGCTCGGGTAGCCCCGTAAGCCCTAGTCGAGAACAAGGCAAACCCTAAACCCTAGTCCCTAAACCCTAAACCCTAAACCCTAAAACCCTAAACCCTAACACCCTGATGGCACCGAAACCCTTAAAACCCTAAACTCCCTCAAGACCTACATCCTGAAGTTGTGTACCCTAAACCCGAGACCCCAAACCTTAAACCTTCAAACCCAAAACCCCAAATCCTAGGGCTTTAGGGTTTAGGGGTTCGGGTTTAGGGTTTAGGGGTTAGGGTTTAGGGTTTAGCTTGAAAGCACTCAAAGCACAAAAGCAGGCCCACCTGGAGTTCCTCGAGACCCTGCCCCCAGAGATGTGACCGGGCTCGTGGAGTCTTTTTGAAGGAGGGTTCCTTCAAGGGTTCTTTACGGTTTCCTTTAAGGGTTCTTGTAAGGGTTCTACCTTAGGATTTAGTGTGTTGAGTGTTTAGGGTTTAGGCTGGCGTTTTATCGGGTCGGGGTTTAGGGTTGAAGGTTTGGGGGTGGGGGTCGTTGGGGTCAGTTTTGCTTCCTGGTTCTAGGTTTCAAGGGTTTAAGTTTAGGGTGTCAGGGCCTTGGTGGCTTTGGGTTTCAGGGTTTTTGTGGTGTTCGGTTTTAGGGTTTAAAGGGTAGGGGTTAAGGTTTAACCATATCGGTCAACTCTCAAACCCCAAACCCCCTGAGCCAAGAATTCCAACATCCCTAAATGCCACATCCTTCAAGACAAAATTCCAAATCCCAAACCATACCCTACCCGTGGCCGAAAAGGCCTACCCTTTCAAGGCACTTTGTACAGAAACCATAAGAAGAAGCCCTGGGAAGGTAGGCCTCTTCGGCTAGAGGCAAACTTTAGGGCATGGTTTTGGGCTTTGGGTCTAATTAAATCGTGTAGAGGGGACCCTTTGAGCTGCACACTGCCAGTACGCCCTGGCCCCTAAACCCTAAACCCTCGACCCTCAACCCTAACCCTTAACCCTAAACCCTAAACCCTAGACCCTAAACCTTAACCCTAAACCTTAACCCTAAACCCAGCCCACTGAACCCTGACGGGGTGGGCAGCTCCAGTCGACAGCCCCTAATTATGGAGTAAAATTTTTAGGGTTCCTCTAAAGGATCTATAAGTTTTCTATAGGGACTATAGGGCTCCTATAAGGGAGCTACAAGAACTAATGCATGTGCCTGACTGTAGGTCATATGCGGGAGCCTACTATCATTTAAGGCATGGTCCTTAATCAAAGGAGTCTGGGTCCATCGGAAAAAGTGCAAATCATAAGCGGCTCCTGATTAAGGGCCTCCGATCAGCCCCGTGATAAAGCTAAAGCCCTCCTAAACCCTAAACCCTCTCAGTTCCTGCTTCCGAAATACTGGAAGACCTAATTCCGAGGCCCCATACCGGAACCCTACCCCCAAGTTGAGGGCTTAGGGCTTAAGGCACCCATGCCTGAAGCTCATCCCACTCCAAAACCGGCCATATCGAAAGCCTAAACCCTAAACCCTAAACCCTAAAAAATGAAGCCTTCGCCGTTCCAAGGCTCCGGGAGTTGTTCCATGAGGCTCGCAGTCGCACTCTTCAGCTGGGGCCCCAGCCGAAGCTTCGGCACTTTTTAGCGTTAATGCTGTCGTTATGGTTATGGCTCATTCATTCGGATTCTTGTTGTTTAGAGATTTTGTGTTAAACATGTGCTTTTGGAGGCGTTAGGGTTGGATGGTGCAGGATATTCGCGTTGGGGGTTCTGCCTAGTTGCCTCGCAGAAAGTTGCAACGTCGAACTTGTTTTGCTCAACGCGCTTTTGCTGTAAAGGGCTGCGGGTTTTGTGGGCAGCCAGTAGCTACTTGCGATGCGACTTAGGTGTAGCTGTAAATGGCACCAGACCAATTATGCGTCGGCTTCGCCACATGACCCTTGCAAACAGGAGAAACTCCTCGTGTGCTACCCCTGAGATTGAAGCAACGTTTGGACTCAAAGAGTCAGTGTCGCTAGCCACGGCTAGGAAAGCTGTCGCCGCACATTGCATTCTCAGGAGCACATGTATGCTGCATCTGTGAGGCTGTGTCAAAGCCAAGAATAATGTAGAAGTCTTAATATCTAGTACTACCACTGTTTAGGCATTGCAATAAATTCAATAGCTGTGCTAGAGTATGCTCTTCTAACTATTGAGGCATTTACGATTATTTACGGCTTAGGGTACACAGGGAGCTTCAATATGATAGAATATAAGATGTACCCCAATTGAAGAATTTTGGAGTCGTGCGGTTCTTGAGATGTGCATCTCGTAACACACCTTCCGCACATCGGTATTCGGGCACTCTCGATGACAGGGTTGCGGATTTTTGGAATTAGGGATCCCTAAACCCTAAACCCTGAACGTCTATAAGTTTAGGGATTACGGTTTTGGGGATTGGGGTCTGACTTCTAGATGTGTTCAGGCTTAGGTTCACCTAACTATCCAGTAGCCGGCCGTTCACCCGGGTCATAGTCAGTACCAACTACTCTCAGCGCTTGCCGGCATATGGCTTCCTTTCTAGATGCCAGCCGGCAAAGAGCCCAACAAAAGCAAAGACCTACGTATACCCTTAGCCCTAAACCCTAAACCCTAAACCCTCAACCCTAAACCCTAAAACCCTAAAACCCTAAAACCCTAAACCCTAGACCCTAAACCCTAAACCCTAAACCCTGAAGCTTAAGCTTTCTACCCCAAGCCGGCAGCTTGAGAACCCTAGCACCCTAAGGGCGTGCATGGCCTTTTTTTAACGCGCCCTTAAAGGAACCTGAGGAGGCCCTTGCTCAGGGTTTAGGGTTTAGGGTTTAGGGTTTAGGGTTCAGGGTTTAGGGCTTCAGGGTTTAGGGCTTAGGGTTTAGGGCTTAGGGTTTAGGGCTTTCGGGCTTAGGGTTTAGGGCTTAGGGCTTAGGGTTTAGGGTTTAGGGCTTCAGGGTTTAGGGCTTAGGGCTTAAGGTTAGGGTTTAGGGTTTGGGGTTTGGGCACCGCGAGGTATAATCTGTTTTTCGACGACATTGGACGGAGGGATCCGTCCATGGAGCTGCTCGGAGAGCAAGCCTAAATCTTCGGGACCCAAAAAGCACATAAGCCTACCTTATTGGGCTTCATTATAGGGGATTTATATGGGATATTCCTATCCTAATTTTTGCTTATGTGCTTTTTTGGGGCCCTAAATCATAAGGACCTTCAGGGGGGTAAGGGGGAGGGGGTGTAGGGGGGCCTTAATAGCCCAATAAGGACGTGATATACGGGTGATGATCTAATTCCTGCACCACCCATAATAAGGAATATAGCATAATTCCCATAGTTTCGGGCCCTTATGATTATGGTAATGCTGGTTATATCATCAACAGTATGGCCTATTTAAGGAAGTGCAGTGCCCCCCCAGATTCCCCTGTGACTCATCCCCAAGCCCTAAGGCTTAAGCAAAAGAGCAAACGAGCAAAAGACAAGGGAGGTCGGCAGGTTTAGGGATGTTCAGGGCTTTCTAAAGGGGTTGTGTAAGGGTGTTGCAACCGTCAATGAGGATTTCACAAGGGCTTTATCAGGCTTTGCATCATCTTATTCAGAGCTTCGGGGGCTTCGGCGGTTTAGGGCCTCGGATATAGGGTTTGGGGGTTTCTTGGCTTCAGGACCGTCGTGAATCATCGGATCCTTCTTCAGGTGTCCATGCAGCGCATGACGGATCCGGGGACTTTGGAAGTAGGTTACGTCCGCGTTGGCATTTTGCAATATTTTGCAAAGAGACGCTGGCCATCGAAGACCGTGCAGGTGAAGCACAAGCTTTGCGCCGCCCTGCTAGAGGCAGAAGCCGATCCTCCAGTGGCCGCATCCTCGAGCGCATCATTTGGCGGATGACGCTCAGAATCGCCGAGGAGAGGTGGTGCCCTGAGACCCCGATGGAGAGCAGACTCCCGAAAAGCTTCGAGTTGGCGAAGACAGAGATGTCGGATATCTGCACCCGCCTGCTGGAAGAGGACGTGCAGAGATTGTCACGTTGCTCTGAAGCAGCAAACCGTGAAGCCCCGTTTGGGCATGTTCACAGGACTTGCGGACGAAAAAGAGCCGACAGGACGGCGCCAGCATAGCTCGTGCCAAACGGTGCAATCGGATCCTGCAGCGTGTCGATGGGAAGTGGCCACCTGCAAGCTCTTGAAGATGATCTTCAGAGATGCTACCAGCAGCTCGGGACCCCTGTCCCACACTCACTTTAGGCTTTAGATGGGTTTACCAGACAGACCTAGATAATTACCAATCCTGTTTTGGGGGTTCCTTATTATACGTATAGTATAAGGCCCCCCCCGAACCCTCTTCTAATTACTACGGCCCCTATATTAGGCTTTCTGTGGCTTGTGTTCAAGCGTTACTAGGTCCCAGTCTTCAGTACGTACCAGCTTTTCATTCAGTTCAATGCCTCCCCAAAGAATGTGGTGCGAAGTTGAACGTACTATAGGGGCCTAAATAATTACCAATACTATTTTGGGGTTCCTAATTATAGTCATAGTATATTGTACCCCGAAGCCCTATTCTAATTGTCACACTAAGGCGGCAGAAACTCTGTTTTCCCGCACAAAAGCAGAAACTCGTGAGCCTTCCGAGCGAAGCAATGCTTTCATATGCACTGCTGACAGCAAGCGAAGCGGTGCTTACATATGCAATGCGAGCAGGGAACATCGCTCTCTCTTAGGAACGACTGGCTGCACAACCCTGCACAAGCACTTCAGATTTACACTGCTTCAAAACAAGTTTCCCCTCCTTCAGGGGGAACGACAAGTGACCCATGGAGGGCCACCAGTCCGAAGCTTTCCGGGGCTTCGTCAATATGTCTGCACGTTGGAGATGAGTAGGAACCCAAATGAGGGGTGCTTGTGCGTCATCGTAGTCGGGACGTTCTTCATCCAGGCTTTGTCTGAGGCATGCGATGTCGATCGCAAGCCGACGGTCGGATGGTGTCCTGGGCAGTCCATCCTTGTGCATGTGGTCGTACAGCGACCGACAGTCTGTTACCGCAAGAAGGGGAAAACGCTTTCCAACATCGCGTGAGATCTTGCCCGTCAAGAAAGAGTCGAACATCGCCCTGACATACTGTGCTAACTCGATGCCTTCAATACATCCCATTGTCTCTGCACCGAAAGTAGACCGGCAAACTCGATCGCAGGCATGGGACCGCCACTCCAGGATACTCGAAGGTCCCCCGGTAGGTCCAAGGGCATCACGACCATGTATCATGACCAGGGCTCCCAGCTGTGAGGCCACCGAAGAGTTCTTTTTCTTCGTCTTCCTCGCCTTCGTAGTCCACGGTCCTTCGTCGATCAGTCCATTCTGTTCATCTTCGCTGTAGAGGAAGTAGATCGGATCGGCATTGGAGTCCGGGGCGTTGCTCCATCCAGCGTCGTGGAACACAGTGAACACGATGTCGTCAAGGGGCACTCGCGCAAGAAGGATTCCTTCGTCTCGGTGTTGTAGGGCGCGGCGAGCCATAAGGTTGGAGAAACGAAGGTCTCCGATTGTGGGCCTCGCCTGGAGTTGCTGACACATAGAAACTCCGCATGCCAAATCTGGCCTTGTCTGGGAGGATAACCAAGATAAAGCTCCCACCAAAGAGCGGTTGTCTGTGATTTGCTCGGCCGAAGCAGGCTTGTCCTCGGCATCCTTGGGGTCCACTTCCACCTCAAAGAGTCGGCTCGCCGCGTAGGAGGACTGTGAGATGAAAATGCCGTCTGGCCTCGTTTCGATGTGGGATCCGATGAAGTCGAAGGTGTCCTGTTCCCATTCATCTACAGGAAAACAGCTGGACAGCTGTTCTTGGACAGTTTCTCGAATCTGTTTATTTCCGACCAGGAGGATGTCGTCGACGTGGACCGCTGCGTAACAGATAGGGGGTCCATCACCTCTTTCTCCATCTTTGCCGAGCTCGACAAGTTGGAACACACAAGGATCAAGAGCTGAGGCGTAGAACTTCGCTTTGTTGCCGGAGGGAAGCGTCAGGACGATCTCCTGGATGTCTTTCTTGAACTTCTTCCACCACTTCCTCGGGCTGTCGATGAGTCCGAATACATCCTTGAAGCCGCTATTTGTAGTAGCGTCATCACCGCCGTCCTTGACACCGTAGGAGAGTCGGTACGTAGGGCTCCAGATACTATATCTGGATCGGTGTGTCCAGACACAACGAGTCTCGATTTTGCTTTCCACTCCACAGAGGGGTCTGTTCTTCTTTTAGCTAAGTTTTTGTCACGGTATGCAAAACGCGACGTCAGCACTCGCCCAGAGTCCTTCTTGAGAGCGCTCTCTTCGATGCTCAATCCGGCTTCTTAGAAGAAATCCTTCTCCGGATGGCCCTCGGCAGCTCCTCACGGGGAGCTTCGCGTCTGATCCCGGACGTTCGGGATTCCTCCATGTCGCCGTTCTCGAGGTCCATGGCTTGGGCTTCGGGGACTTCGTCGTTGTCCTCGGGCATAGAGAGGTCCTCAAGGATCTGGTCCAGGAAGGCGTCCTCCTCCGCTGCGATATCGTCTCCGGGGAAAGCCTCGGGGTCGTCGTAGCTGTTTTCCACCAGCCGCAGAAGATCGTCCTTAGTGGCGCGAAGGGCAAAGAGTCCTCCGACCTCTTCAGGTAGTGCCCGACGCAGGTGCTCTGGAGCACAAAGGTATAGCAACGGCCGCCATGGGATACCCAGTAGTTATCTTCCTGGCGTCCGATGATGATCCCGGGGCCCTTCCAAAGGCCGTTCTTTTTGTTTGATGGTTTTCTCCAAAAGAACGCCATAGCACCGTTTTCGAGGTCTCGAGGCTTGACGCGTGACTTCTGTGACATACCACGTCTCATCTTGTCCTCTGTTCTGGGCTGGTAAAAGGCGATCCTTGCGGCATTTCGAAGGGTTTCTCGACGATGCTGGGCTTCGTCAGGAGAACGTAGAAGTTGCCCACCTCCTTCTTCGACCTCGAAACGCAAGTCCTCGTCATCCCTGGGATTTTTGCCAAAGACGATCTGGCATGGAGCCCATCCACAACGACGACGTAGATTGTTCTTAGCCGAAGTAGTTGCGCCAATAGCTTCTTCCACTTCTTCTCCTCGTACAGTTTGTTCTTGTACTACACGACCAAATATCTCCTTCCACCACTTTCCATGTCGCTCTGTGAAGCCGGACTGCCAATGTGCCTGTCCATCGCTTGTTCGCAGCTCGACGTGGTACCAATCCGCCAGCCGACTGAAGGCATCCTGGATCCCGCGTTCCAGGTCCAGAGTGATCACCTTGGGAGCGCCAAAGATTTGCACCCAGTTCTTGATGAAAGCCTTCTCGAGTACGGTGCCAGTTTGTTTGGGAACTTGGACCACTACTTGATAGGAGGAAGCATGATCAACAATAGAGAACAGTTTGATCTTTTTCCCATCGATGTCGTAGGCATACATCATGTCGACTCCAACAACATCTCCAAATTCAAGCAGTCTTGGCTCTGCAGAAGGACGAGCGCTCTTGGGCCCCTTGGTACGCGAGCAAGTAGCGCACTCTAGGCTTTTAGCGGCCTTAATCACATCACGATCTGCTCCTGCGTGGTGTAGATGCCGCACCAGATCCTCCCGAGCAGGGTGGCCTAAAGTCTGATGCAGACGACGAAGTGCTGCTGCCATGTCTGAGGGGACCTTCTTGCTGCTCCTTCACGCCATTTGTCCACCTCAGATCGTTCCGCAGCCTTCTCATTGTCCTCCACAACACACGCCTCGTGGCAGGTAGGTGATGTAACCCTGTAGGCTTTGACACCGTCAATCTCCACAGTAGCCACGGTACCGAAACTTTCAATTTGAAGTCGTACCCGTCTGTCCTGGTGAGGTAGCCCTCTTGGTACCGTGACCATCAAGGATCCATGTTGATTGACCTGCCAGCGCCCACATAGATCGAGTACCTCAACCCTGAGCATCCCATATTGATT